CTGATAGGTGGACTTATTGTCCAATAGATCATGTGAGAATTAAAGGCATTTTTCAACAAGCATTATTAAAAAACGTCACTAATTGTTAATTTTCAACAACAGTTTAAAATTTTTATCACAAAAAATGTCACTAAATATAAACTTTAGTGACAGTTTAAAAAAATCTTGACAAAAAAGTCAATAATTTTTAACTTTTAGCGATAGTTTGAAAAATTCATCACGAAAAAGTCACATTTTTTTTTTAGTTTTAGTGACAATTTATAAAAACCGTGATAAAAAAAGTTGCTAATTGTCAATTTTTAGCGACATGTAAAAAAACAGTTACAAAAAATTATTTTTAGCGATAATTTTATTAGGACTTATTTTCAATAGGACTTAATGGGAATTAAGTCCAACTATTAGGACTTATGGGTAGTTTACCTTATATTTTATTTACATTTCACCTATCTTTTTTCCTTTTTCGTTTTCAAATTATTATTCAAATCCCCCAACTAAACATAATATAAGGAGAAAAAGTATAATTTAAAAAATAAAAATCCACTCTTGATCCTTTCTTAGCTCTGGCCACTGCCTCCACGGGTGATGCTTGGTAGCTCAAGAAGTTAGTAGTCCAACTTTGCTCAAATGAGGTGGCTTTTGTGATGTGGCGATGGTATGAAAAATAAAATTCTATTTTATTTATTATTTAATATTTATTTATTTATTTTATTTTTTTATTTATGATACTGAACCTAGTTATTGTTGATAATATAAGATCTCTTGGGATATTTTATCAACTCTTTTTCTACTAAGTTTTATATCTTTAGTAGCACTAGTATTTAGTAGATTTTGTAAAAAAAAATTACGACGTTATTGATAGTGTATCATTAGTACTAGTACTTGATTACAATCTACCAATAGATCTTGAATATAGAAATGATGATAACAATTGATAAAAAGGTAAAATTTATTACTTCTTCTAATTTTAAAATATTTTGATTTTAGACTTACTATACTTCTAAAATAAGAAGGATATCTTTCAAAAGAGGGTTGACCTAGGAAGTATCTTTTTTAATAATTTTTTAATTTTTTGACTACAATATGAAATAAAAAAAATTAAAATGTTTGAAAATAACTTTTTATTTTTTATGAAAGAATGTGTAAAAGGTAGACAAAAAATAAAGAATTTTTAACTTCTTGCATACGCTTTTTTTTTTTTTTTTTTTTTTTTTTTTTTTTTTGTGTGTGTGTGGATATTTTTAATCACTTTTTGAATAATTTAATCTTTTCTCAAACATCCCCCAAACAAATATACTCATGCCTCCTATTTATCTTTCGTACATATAGTTGAGCATTAAAAATCCTAATTATTTAATCTAATTAGGAATTTCTTTTTCATTTTTTTTCTCTTTCTTAAAATTTATTTTCATTGGTCAGCATTTCTAAAACTCATAAATTTATTGGGAAACAAATATATATATATATATACATCCAGGTGCATTAGAATAATGAAGCGACACTTTTTTTTTTGTTACAGGAAAATTTTCCCTATCCTCTCGTAGGTCCAAAGCGGAGCGTCCCTTACAGAGATCACCAAAGTGTCTTGTTAGCCGTTCCGAGCGAGGAGACTATAACCTGAGAACTTGCCCCGACCTCCCAAGACAAGCTCCGCTTAAGTCAGGACTCGCACAGCGGGGGAGTATTGAACCCACACCAAGTGCTAACTAGACAACTTGAGATCCAACCTCCTAACCAACAGTACTTCACTCAAAAGATTAGCCCAAAAAAAAAATTAAACTTGTGACCTTAGAACTTAAATTTCAAAACCTTACCACAATGCTACAACCCCTTGGGTTTATTGAAGCGACTTTGCACCTAAAGTGATTCAATGGATTGAGACATGTGATTCTTGCAGTTGCTTTGCCTGTCCCATCCCAGGTAAGAGAATTACAAGTAAATAATTCATAATGTGCACATAATACTTCAGAAATTTTTATGAAGGGTTACTCTTACGCGTTATTTGGAATGATCTAAATAAATATATTTTTTAATTTTTTATAAAAAAATGTGAAATATGAATTAGGTTTGAAGTGACGTGGTAGAGAAATGATGTGATTTAAATGAGATGATGTGACTTAAATAGGGTAATGACTTTTTGACTTTTTTATATTATGCCAAACTAGGCCTTAGGCCTCGTTTGGGAACAGGCTTTTTAAGTAACTTTTTGATTTTTTGGCTAAAATGTGATATAAAAAACTAATATATTTGGGATGACTTTTTAACTTTTTACGAAAAGATGTGCACACTACAAGAAATTAAGGTTTTGAAAACAAATTTTTAGGAACAAAAATAATTTGTTTGTAAAAATTATACTTTTAAGGACAAAATGAAAGAATTTTTTAAAAATTATATTTAATCATGTTACTACATTTTCTAGACAAATTTATTTAGTTGTAAAAGGATCAATCACTTTTCCTTACAATTTTAGTTTGTCCCTAATAAATCCATCACTTTTCCCTTCAATTTTAATTGGACCGTAATAAACCCAAATCATATCCCTACAATTTGAATTGGTCTCTAATAAACCCAAATCATATATTATTATATTTTATATATTAATTTATGAACTCAATAATCGGGGACTATCAAAAACAAACACAAAAAAAGGGTTTCATCACTCACTCTTTTCCTCTCTCTCTCTCCTTCGCTCTCAAATCCCTAATTTCTCTTCTCTACTGATTCATATATCTCTTCTCTACCGATTCGATATCTGGATCGCTCCGTTGCAGCCTCATCTCTCCTTGATTCTCCGATTTCTCAGCGAATCTCCGGTAGCGATTCCGATCAGGTACCATATATTATCAACTTATTTGATAATCGACTATCATATTTATGAATTGCCTATATTTAAATTGTTGTTCAATTTCCTGTTAATCTACATTTGCTACATTCATTCATGTAATGATGAGGATCATATCCAATCTAGGCCTCAGTCCATCATAGATCATCCAACCGATGCTCTGTTAATGTGAAGCCATGATGGAGTGAGGGGAACAATTTCACATTCAAAAGGCAAATGGAATTATGAGTGGTTGAATGTAGTACCTATAATCTGTTAACCTGTAGAATTATGGAACAATTTCACTTAAAGGTTAAACTCATTGCCTGCAAATTATGGGTAATAATTTATGTCAAATGCAATGTCAAGGTTAAACTTAGGATTTACAGTTCATTCTTTACAATTGGAGTAGACTGCTTGTGAGGTTACTGAAATCACGATGGACACTGAGATTTGCAATTTATTGTGTGATTGCATTTTTTTGGTGATTTTGTTTTCCTGTATTGCTAGTTAGTTCTTTGTTTTTTAAAACAAAAAAAAATAAAAACTGTACACTGAGTGGTTATCATTATGTTTAAGTTGTCAAAACTTGTCGCTCAGCAACAGTGTGTGTGTACTATAGTTCTATTATCTATACCCTAACACATGTTTTGATAAGTAATGATATAATTTCATTTACAAGAAGGCCGAAAACAAATTATACATCAAAACCTGATCCGATGTCTCCAAAAGCCAAAACTTTTAATTCTCCAAATAGGCTCTTCTTACAAATGAATGTTCTCTTATTCTGATCACCGCAGATTTTCCACATCAAATCTGAGGCGGCAATACCAAACTCATTGTCATCTCTATAAATATATGTAGTTGGTTTGGTTATATAACCCATGGATTCAATAGTAATAATAATAATAATATAATTTTTTGCTTGATGGGTTAGAGCTGGGATACCATTTTCCCAAAGAAAGAACTTAGTAAAATCATCAGCTAGTTATTTTGTTAAAAAAACAAAGTAAAGAGTTATTGAATAAATTATGCTTTATGTAAAAGTTGCATCTGTCACACTATTATTTTTTATGTTTCTTATACTATTATTATAGAAGTACATTTCGTGCCACAATCGTTTCAATTGATTTTATAAGAATCATCGTTAGAAAAATCATGTGGAATAAAGTATGCCGCCAGCCCCCTAGTCATCATGGTTTAAGCTTTTGAGAGTAAGGATGTTTCTAAAATATTAAGATTGTCCATTATCCTCCTTAAAATTTGAAGATACTAATAGCATGTAGATGTTTTATACAGTTACACTTGACTTGAGAAAGTAACTATAAACTTTTTTTTTTTTAGAATGAAAATATCACTTTGGATGGGTTGGAACAAAAATTGCGGGTTAAAAATATTAATGTTTTTCACTTTCAGAGATGGAAAATTGGCAACTACATTGCTCGAGGCAAAATGTAATATGAAAACTAGTCTTACCTTTCATGATATGCATATAACAAACTCACTGCTACTATCAGCTCCATCAGTGACAAAACCCCATTCATTTAGATACAATGTATGCATGTTTTACAAATCAAAACAACCTTGTCCCTCGCTAATTAAATACATCGGTGCAGACAGTTAGCCATCTTTGCTTGTCATCCCCCACAAAGGAAAACAAAGAAAGTTTTGCAACTTGCGTAGGCCAACATACAAACTTACACACTTCACCTCTTCACCTTTCTATGGAAATGAAGTAATATTGAAGGATAACAAAGAAAGTTTTACATGTATCTTCTTGGATTTAGCTCTCATAAAACGATAGTAATCACTTTGCTTGGTTAGAGTTTTTCAAAAACAAGGGTTTGGGACTACCAATGATCTATCTACCTGAATATCTAAAATCAAGATTTATCCATTTAGAATTTTTTGAGGGGGTGATTGTGTGGTGATGAAGAATTCGTAGAATCCTTATATTAATGCTTAATTTGATGTTTCTTTTGCTTTGATGATATGGTCTGATCTAATCCTGATTTGTTTGATTTGATTATATTTGTGTTATTTGGAAATGTAGATGCCAATTCGATTGATTGCATTGTTAAATTTATTTTGATTCGCTTGGGTTATTGCATTATGTTTCCTATTTTTTAAGCTTTTACCTTCTTTTTTTTTTTTTCTCTTTCTTCTTTAGTTCTTTTGCACCATGGATAAGAGTTGGATGCAACTTCGTAATAGAAGGTCACCTCAGTACATTGATGGGGTGAGGAAATTTATCTTGTTTGTTCGTGATCATATGAAACTAGAGGAAGATAAGATTTGGTGTCCATGTTATAGATGCAACAACCATATTCAAAAAACCATAGGGGAAGTTGAAATTCATTTGTATGCATATGGGGTGGTCACGAGTTACACTAGGTGGGTGTATCATGGGGAAGGTTTTGAGTTGAATGATAATGATGACTCACAAAATGAAAATGACAAATATCTCGACAATATGACAGAGAAGTCAAATAGTCCCAATACTGAGGTGCGAGAAGTTATTCATGACATACGAAGTGGAACAACCACATTTGGTTATGTGGGAGAAGCATCTAGTAGTCGTAATCCTGACTTACCAAGTAGTTGTGGTGGAGAAACAAATAAATTTGCAAGATTAATGAGGGATGCGGAGCAAGATTTGTATCTGGATTGCCAACGATTCTCCAAACTATCATTCATGGTTAAATTGCTACATCTAAAGATATTTAATAGATGGAGCAACAAATCACTCACGATGTTGCTGGAATTGTTGAAGGAGGCACTTCCCATTGGTGAAACGCTTCCATGCTCTTACAATGAGGCTAAACAAATAATTCGAGATGTGGGCCTCGACTATCAAAAAATACATGTATGCAAGAACGATTGCGTACTTTTTTGGAAGGAGTATGAAAATGAAGATGAGTGTCCTACTTGTAAAGCGCCAAGATACAAAGTTCGTAAAGGTAAAGGTAAAGGTAAAAAGATCCCTCACAAGATTCTGCGATACTTTCCTTTAAAACCACGGCTACAAAGGCTATTCATATCCAAGAAGACGGCTATTGATATGAAGTGGCACAAGGATAAACGTGTAGAGGAGGAAAATGTGTTGCGTCATTCAGCTGATTCTGAAGCATGGAAAGACTTTGACAAAAAACATGAGTCTTTCGCCAAAGATCCGCGTAATGTTAGGCTCGGACTAGCTAGCGATGGTTTTAACCCGTTTGGAAACATGAGTAACTCATATAGCATATGGCCAGTTTTTCTTGTCCCATACAATTTACCACCATGGAAATGTATGAAGGATCCATTTTTTATGATGCCTTTGCTTATTCCTGGGCGTAGGGCTCTCGGGTTTGACATTGATGTGTTTTTACGGCCATTGATAGATGAGTTAAAGGAGTTATGGGAGGTAGGGGTAGAAACATACGATGCATCAAATGGCCAAAGTTTTCAATTACGTGCCACATTGTTATGGACCATCAACGATTTCCCTCCATATGGTAGCTTATCCGGTTGGAGCACCAAAGGGAAATTGGCTTGTCCTTCATGTAATGAGGATGCATCTCACCAATACTTGCATCATTGGAAGAAAACTTGTTACACGGGACATTGTCATTTTTTGCCGCATAATCATGTTTTACGAAAAAGCAAGGCATTCAATGGTGAGCCAGAGCATAGATCGGAACCCAAGTTGTTGTCTGGGGAGGAGGTTTTGGGACAATTGGAGCATCTTGACTCAATAGTATTTGGGAAGATAGATAAACGTGGGAAGAAGCGAAAACGTTCTCATCAATATTTAAATTGGACAAGGAGAAGCATCTTCTTTAAGTTACCTTATTGGAAAACCCTCAAAGTTCGCCACAACCTCGATGTTATGCACATTGAAAAAAATGTATGCGATAGTGTGATGGGAACATTGATGAACGTTGATGGAAAAACCAAGAACTCGTACAAGGCTCGTCTTGATCTAGTGGCTATGGGTATAAGGCCTGAATTACATTCAAGGCAAGTAGATGGAAAAACCTACCTACCCACTCCTTGCTTCATGCTCTCTCCAACTGAAAAAAGGAGTTTTTTTGAATTCTTGAGTACAATTAAGTTGCCAGATGGCTATGCATCAAACATATCACATTGTGTGAGCACTAGTGATTGTCGAATTTCAGGGTTGAAAAGCCTTGATTGCCATGTTATCTTGCAAAGATTGCTTCCTGTTGCCCTACGTGGATGTTTGAAAAAGGATGTGAGCAAGGCTTTAATTGAGCTTTGCTTGTTCTTTAAGGAGTTATCGACAAAAACATTGAGAGTTGATGTCTTAGAACAACTTGAGAAAGATATTGTTTTAATTTTGTGCAAGCTTGAGAAGATATTTCCACCATCTTTTTTCGATATTATGATCCATTTATGCGTACACTTATCACGTGAAGCAATCCTTGCAGGACCGGTGCAATACTGGCGGATGTACGCATTTGAGAGGTACATGCATATTCTTAAGGGCTATGTGCGTAACAAAGCCCGTCCAGAAGGCTCTATTGCTGAAGGTTACATTGATAATGAGGCTCTCACATTTTGCTCTATGTACTTCAACGAAGGTGAGACAAAATTTAATAGACCAGAGCGGAATTATGATGGGCCTATTAAAGCTACACAAGATGGAAATATTTATGTATTTAAGCAAAAAGTACGTGGAATAGGAGCTGCAGTTAATGATGTGTTGAATTTAAAAGATTTGAAGCAAGCTCGATGGTATGTGTTGAATAATTGTGATGAAGTTCAACCGTATGTGAGGTAAGAAACCACCATATGATTATATTCACTACAAAAATTTTCATTGTGAATTCTACTACTTTCACAACTATTTGTGTCAAATAATGTTGTGTAATAATTTATAGGCAATACATGGATGAACTTGAGAGACAAGGTTTGAGAAATGTTCAAGAGAGGCTGGAATCAGAGTTTCATACATGGTTTCTAAAATACGTAAGAGCTATAAATTTTTAACTTTATTTGTGCATTTAAATAATGTAGCTAAGTATATGCTAATACATTTCACATCATAAATGGAATTAGGTCACAAAGCAACAACTTGAAGGGATCATGGACGCTTCCAATCAACTTATGAACCTAGCCCGAGGTCCTGATAGTCGGGTGACACGATACAGTGGTTGCATTATCAATGGGACCAGATTTCACACTCAAGATCATGACATGAACCGAAAAACTCAAAATAGTGGTGTGGTTGTTAAGGGTGACCATAAAGGAGAAGCTATTGATTTTTATGAAGTTGTTGGGATATAGTCGAGTTGACATATCTAGGGAGAAATCGAGTGTTCCTCTTTAAGTGTGATTGGTGGGATGTTGGCAATGAAAAAAATGGAATGAAATTTGATGATTATAAATATGTTAGTGTGAATGTTACAAGAACTTGGTACAAGGATGAACCGTTTGTGCTAGCATGCCAAGCTGTACAAGTGTTTTATATGAAAGACATGAAATTTGGCAACAATTATCGAGTTGTACACAGAATAATACCTCGGGCAATATATGACATTCTAGTGAAAAGGGATGAAGAGGAAGAGAAAGACGAAGAGGAAGAAAAAGACAATGATGAACCATACTGTAGACGCGCCCGCGTGGGGGGCCCTCGCTGCTACAGTTCGGACTCGATTTCGTTTGTCACGGTTGTTAATCTGAACCAAAAGGTCCAAATCTGGCAAATCGTTTTGAGAAACAGATTTTTTGAAAAGAAGTGTCAAACATGGACTGCTTTGCCAGATTACAGAGTCGCCACCTAAATATTTTTAAATGGGGGAATTTAGGAAACCCTGACTCGGTGCCGAAGGCCACGTGTCCGTCATCACCAAAGTTGCCTCGGCTCGGGAGCTTGGGTACGATTGGGGAAGGTCAGCTATGAGCACCCCCTCTCGCCCGGTCCGAAGACCGGTGTCTACTAACCGTGATATCCGATTTTGAAAACGTTTATGTGTTCTTATCCCAATTATTAGCCTAGAATTACTACGTTATGCACACAGTAAACAAGTATAGACTAGATTGCCTAATTTGGAAATAAGCATTGCATATCCGTTTGTCTTGAAAAACACTTTGGAATTTGCTACTCGCAAGTAGGCTAAAATACAGATTTCAACGAGTTTTTCCAACTCAGACAATCCAACCTTCACCCACAGGCATTCAAACAATTTATCACATAAGCATTTAGCCACATGGTAAGCATACTGTCATGATAGCATTCACACTCATGCGAGATGCTAAAGCATAAATACTTACATCGTACTCCGTGCCAAAACAATAAACTAGTTAGCCAACATGCATGGTCCTAGTTCATGTCAATTTGACTAATGCAACACATACAGGATGCAATTAGAGTAGGCTCGGCTAACCTAAACATGGCATGTGAAATGCGACCAATTGATGCACGTATTCAATTTGGAATTGAAGTACAAATGCAGTTAGCATGATGCGCCGAGCCCGGTGCATGCAAGACAAATGTATGAATGCACGCATGCATAGCATAAGGTATGCTAATTTAAATATACCCTAGTCTACCATCATAAGCGGGTAAATAAAAGGGAGAAAGAAGTGGGGGTTGGAAGACATGCACACACTCACCCACACTTATTACAAATTTGCCCTCGCTCGGGGGGACCGAAAGAATAATACAAATCGAATAATGAATTAACTATCCTAGCTAATTAATTATTACAAATTACCTAATTAGTTAACAAACTAACTAAGCTAGAAAAAACAGTAAACCGCCTCGGGAAGAGAGCTCAATGCGATGCATGCTCGGTCCTGCTCGGGAATTCACTGCCATGCGCAATCTGCCTCTGTTTTCCCTGCTCTGCTCCTCTGAAGACTGTCAAAGTCTCAGAATTGCTTCTATGGACATTGAGGAGTGCCGCTGGCTGAATAGAATGGCCACCGGCAGTGGTGTGTGATCACCAGCTGTTGGTGAAGCTATCGGCACATGAAGGATTGCCGGTCGGCACTGGACACTGCCGGTCGGCAGAAAGTTCCTGCAGAATCTGTTTAACAGCAACAGAGGACAGGACTTTGCATGGCAATGCAATTCAAGCCATATATGCACCTATCAAGCCCCTTTTCATGTGTGTGACTCAAAGGGACATGGTCCTTGGTTCTCAGACCACCAATCGCGCATTTCGATGCGTGATGGCCCAAGAGACCAAGTGTGCACACTTTGATGTCAAACGAAATGCAATGCACACAATCAAACCAAGAGGCTTCTACCTCCATCATGACTTGGTCAGGAGGTGGAGCATGCATACCAATGCAATGCAACTCTAATCATGTGAGCTAGCATGCAACATGAGCATACAAGCAAGTGATGCGCACTAGGTACATAGACTAGGCAAACAAGCATACAAGCATGCCACAACTATGCAAACTACTTAGAGCATGCAAGATGTGATCTAATCATGCAACATGCTAGTAATTTGACCAAGGGAATGCATGCCAAATGCAAATGATTTCAAGCATGCAACACATGCAACCAAAGCATGCAAACATGGGATAATGTAACAACACTTGAATGACATACAAGGGATGGACTTAAACATGATTTAGGCAGCCTTAAATAGACTTAAAACAGTGGCCAAAGCCAAGGAAATGAGGCCCAAAACACACGCACACATGTATGCGAATACGGTCCGATTCCTAAGGCTCACCAAAGAAGCATTGAACTACACTTAGTGCAACCACACATGGCATGAATTAAATGACTAAAACAGAATTTTAGCATATTAAAACAAGGCCTAAAGATCACTTAGATGGCATCCAAATGACCTAAATTCAAAGGTGTGCACAAGTGCCAAAACATGGAGCATATAACGCAAGCTCACAAAGCTACAAAGAGGCACCCAAGGCAAGTATACAAGCATGTTAAAGGGACTGAAATAGCATGGCAAATGGTCCTAACCCATTAAATTAAGGTAGGATACACGCTATACATTCACACACTTAAGGCCAACAAACCAAAAATGCAAAGGGGCTATACTAAGCATGCCAAGGTCGACCCAAACAACCTAGGACAGACCTCAAACATGGCAAAATAAGCACAAAAGCTTCACAAAGCTAGGCCTCAAACATGCTTGAACAAGGGTTTACAACCTAAGGCATGTTAAGGCCTAAACATGGCATTACAAGGTAGGTATGCTAAGCATGCATGGTGTACCAAAACCAATTAAAAACAGAAGCATATTATGACATAATAAGCACAAAAAATAGCCAAGGCATGGTCAACAAGAAGCTTAGCTAGGTGCTCCCTTAAGAGGCCAAAAATGGTCCATTTCAAGGACAACAAGGAGAGGGGGTGGCCTTCTCCTTCCTAGGACCTCAAGGCACCATCCTCACCTCTGAAATCCCTCAAGATTTCAGTGGTGAGGAGGCCCAAACACCAAGGTCCCGGAGGTCACTCAAAATAGCACAAAATGGGGCCTCTCAAGGCCTAAGAGGGGTCAAACACCTCCAAACCACAAAACACTCTAAACAAACTATTTAGAGAGCCCAAAAACAAAACTTTTTTCTATTATACACTAAGCTCAAAAACAGTTCTAAGATAGGCAAAAATAGTATGCAAAAATGGGGTAAAAAGGGACTAGTTTCTTACCCTTGAAGACCTCTTCAACAATCGTGGACCAACTACTCCTCCAAGCTCAAACCAGCTCCAAAACTTTGAAAACAATCCCTTAGAACCTCAATAGCCAAGAGAAGGTGTAATGGTAGGTGTTTGTGTGCAATACTAAGAACAAATGCACCAAGAACACTCAAGAGGGAAAAAGAGAGATATAATAGCTACAACTATACTAACCCTAGAACCAGAGCTCTCCTCTGTATTTTTTGTCTCTAAAATGTCCAACCCTAAAGCCAAGAGGGGAGGGCTCCTCTTATAGAGGAGCCAATCTTGCAAAGTTTACAAGGTAAGCTAACAAGAAGGCCATCCCTCCATACACGTGTATGGAGGGGAACAAAATGCCATACAACTGTTTTAAAATATCTGCAAAAGCAGATGAACAGTAGTCGGCTGCTCAAAATTGCCATTTTGACAAAATGGACTGCCGACTGGCAACAAAGAATGCCGACCGGCAATATACATTGCCGATGGCAACAAAACACCAGCCGATGGCCTCTGGCTATGGCCGGTGGTGTGTGGGGATGCCTCACAAGGCATTCCCTGCCCCTCAAAGGCAAAACACAAGTGTTTGGTGCAAAACTAGACACTAAACAGTCGAGTCGAGAGATCCTGAGGAAAGGCGCGCAAGCCGAGACCTCCGGGAACTCAAGACGAACACAAACATGGATGATCACCGAGTGTTCAAACGGTGACGTCCAAGTCTTGAGAACGGTCAAAAATGGGGTGTCTACAGTTGCCCCTCTTTGACAGAACTCGAAAGTCATATCAATGACGAGAGTGAATGTCAAAGCCCAGAGACGACCCATTTTTGACAAGGCCGAAGACTTAGACAAACATGCAAGACAAACAAGGTATGCGCCCGAAGGCAGGGGCAAAATGCAAGACAATGCACAGAGCCGGACATAACTTATGATCATGCAAAGAAAGCTGTAATGAAGCATACATGCGACGATTTTAAGCTAGCACACACCGAACTACACTACAATGCAGAAAGGATGTAAGAGAATCATGCAATTCTCGATACGTTTCACTTGGAGTATACCATACCTGTCCGGTTCGTCTAGTTACACCAGCCTCAAATGAACCGTACATACAATATCGTGCCTGTAAAGAAAACAACTCAACAGGTACGATGTTATTAGCAACATGCATAACATGCAAAATGAATGCAAGATGATATGCAATATATACAAAACCATGTATAAACAATGCAAATGAAGATGCAATGCAATTGAAACAATGCAAAGTACATGCAAAGCAATTGAATCATGATCCAATCATGAGCATTTCGAAACCACACCTATGTCAAATAGATTGATGGAGGTAACAAGTCTGTCTACCATAGAACGGTCAACTGAACTATGAGTAATGTAGACAGATACAAGAACAAGTATTGAGGGGAGGGGATTGACATAAGTGGAGAAACGACCCGCTGGGAAAGGGACTACGATCCTAATGCCGGATGCAAAAATTATACTACAATGCAATATGCAATGCTGGGGAAATGGCAACGGATATGGCATGCGGGCCAAACCAAATCTTGCCTAGGCAAGGCATGTACGCATACAAGCCGCGTCTAACATAGAACGGTCCACTGAACTATGTTTCGACGTGAAAAGTATGGGCACAT